GGAAAATGATTGAATCAGCACAAATCAAAATAATAAAAGAGGCCTTTCGTCTTCGATATAGAAAAGATAGTAAGCTTGTTAGTGAATATGCTGGATATATAAAAAATTTGCGTAATGCTGACAATCAAGATGAGTATATAAAATATACAGCAATAACGCTTTTCCCAAATGATGAAGCATATAATAGAAGAATGTTAAGATATAGAAAATGGTATTAAGGTAAAAAGGGACTACTTACTAGTATAGAAGATTTATATAATCTTTATTATGAGCTATCCAAAAAGGATCGGCCTATGACTAAAACAGAAATTAAGGAAGCTGTTGAGAATGTACTTATAGATGAGTAAATTATTATTTGAGCATCTATGTGGGAGGAAGTTCAACTTTCTTAATTAATTGTAATTGCTCACGAACAAATTTTTTTTCTGGTCCACCTTCTAATTTATACATAACAGGTTGACCTTTACGAATTAAAGTACTTTCAATCTGATAAACCTGAGGAGACCAATTTTTATCTGTAATCCGTCTTATAGGTGGACCATATTCTAACTCACCAGGTTTAAGTAAATATTGAACAAAATCTTTATAGGACAAATGTAGTTCATCAAATCTAACAGGTCTTCTATGTTTTACTGCCGGCTCTGCAAATATTTTTTCACCTTTTAATGCTCTTTTTACAGCTTCGTTAGGAGTCATATGTATTAATCGAGTAACAGTATTATTAAAAGTATTATCATTTATACAAAGGCCTTTAACCCAAGCTCTACATCTCTCAGTTAATGGTAAACAAAAATCAATAGCATCTTGTCTATAAAAAGCATGTTTTTCAAATTTTTGATGATCACGTTCAGCAATAGCAACACCTTTCTTAGTTACAGCATACTGAATTTTTACACCATGGCTAAGTAATAAATCTTTGCACTCACCTAAATATTTAGTGCCTTTGTCTATAATCAAAACTGTAGGCCAGGTAAGCGAGCAATTTGGATCATCATAAATTTTCTTAAACATTTTAGCTAATGATACCGATGACTTATTAGTTAAAGCATAACGTTTACAGAATCTAGTTGCTATATCTTTTATTACTCCTCTGTGTTTGTAAATTCTATTGCCAATTTTATCATAGGGCATAGGGATAGTATCTGATTGATGTACTTCATTTAAATTTTGTATTTCATTAAAAGAAGAATATTGAATAAATTTAGGGCGAGGCTTATGAATCTGGAAAACTGCCTGTTTGTTTAACTAATCTTTTATCACGGCTAACAAAAAATTATGTCTAACCCTTCTACATGCATTATGCATTTTTTCAGCAGTCTGATAATAACCTTCAGGCCTATAATAAATTTTTTGCAAAGTAATCTCCTTATCCAAATCACGGACCCTTTGTGGGTCAATATAAATTACGGGTTTCTCCATTCCTTTGTTTTATTATAGTAATAAAAACAATGGATGAGTTACAACAAACTAACCAAGAACTCTATAAGGTGGTATCGCAATTAGCTGAATCAAATAGGAATTTTGAACAACGTCTATATACCTTAGA